TGGGTGCTTTAAAAGGGGGACGGGGAGCAGCCCTGTCCTCTCCCGCTCCCTGCTCTCCTGTTGCCCCCTTCGCCTGCCGTCCCAGTGCGTGGCGCGACCTGCAGCGGGGCAGGGCCTGGAGCCGGTCCTGCGCCTGCCGGCATCCTCCCTGGCGGAGAGGGACGAGTGGCCCACAGGGTTGCTTGTTGGCCCGAAGTACTGAAAAATAACTGAGGTGAATGTAGCTGATCTCTAGGAGTCTGTCGTGGGGACCTCCCACTCATGCTTGGGGTGGCAGGGAAGGAGCCACCAGGTGGGACACCAGGTTGCTTGCATCTACTGTGAATTTTGCATTAAAAATCACCCGATAAAGAGCCCAGAAATCGGGGGGCAGAGCCCAGAACCACAGCTCTTTCAGTTCAAGCCCTTGCCCCTTGACAAAGCAGTCTTTCTCTTAATTTTGCATTATTTGCTACTTGGTGGCATGGCATCAATAGAAATAGTGACAATTTCTTCTCTTTCAGCATGGATCTTGCAGTTGAGATGCTTGTCTCTGTTGTCAAAGCATGGATCCAGGCAGAGAAAGGGTGTAACTGCTTCTCAGTGAGTGGCTTATCCATACGCCTAAAAGCTTTTACACTTTTTCAACCTATGCTGATAAAATTTCCCTAAACTTTTTCTTTTAAAGTTCCCAGTGAAGGAGAGTCCCGCGTCATTAATTTAAGTGCGCTTTGAAGGTAGGTTTGCTTTTGCTAGCTGTCTTTCACAGGCACATCGGTCTACAGATTGAGAAGCACCATCCTCTAACAACATCAAGATGGCTACTATCTCTTCTTTAAAAATGTTTTTTGTGTCCTGTAGTCAGCATTTTTAACCTGTGCTGTGGTCTGGATTAGACTACACAGGCGAAGTGTGCAGGAAATTGTAGCTGTAACAAGGCTGTGGGCACTTAAAGTCCTGATGCTGACGATTCCTTCAGATTCCTGGGAGTTAGCGGGGGGTTTATGGGTCACTATTTAGCCTGAGAACATAAGAAATGCTGTAACAGGGCACGTCAAATATCTAGCCCAGTGGACCAGGCAAGAACAGAAGAGTAAGGCATGGTAATCCTTCCCTGGCTCATCTTCCCAGCCTCCAGAGCACTGCAGTTCAGGAATTTCTGAAGTCAGCTGTGTTGATAGGTATGGGTGCCTGCGCTTTGTCAGATCCCCAGTTTAACGACATCGGGCGAGGGATTTAGTGTCCTATTTGGGAAATGTGAAATAGCCCTGGAACTGTAGTATGTGAGCTGTGCTGTGTAATGCTAGTCTGGCAAATGAAGAGTCACTATGGAGACACGTCACTAGATAGTGAACTGGGACTAACGGTGAGGACTGCAGCAGCCAGGGAAACAGAGAAGCTGCCGTTTGTCTTTATTCTGGCAAGGAGGCTGAAAGAGAGGGGAAAAGACTTCACGTGAAACGAAGAAGTGAGAGACAGGAGGTGCTTTGCAGGTACCCAGAGGTCAGCTCTAATTTCTCTATTCTAAGACTCCAGGAGCACGGAGGCTATAAAAAAATAAAGGAACTCTTGGAGAAGAGCTTTTCCAAGAGCAAAGGAGTGCTAGGGATCCAGCCAGAGTGGCAACCAAAGATGTGGTGCTATCGCAATTACTTCAAAGCATTTGAGCTTAAGTCTGCCATGGGTCTTATGTTCTTGGTTCCTTCCCCGTCTTGGTGTTAGTGTTTGTAAAGGATGGATTTGCCTGAAAATTTACAAAGGAGATGGAAGTTTTCCTCGATAGAGAAATGTCCTGAAAAGAAGGTCAGTTCCTTGATCCAGTTAGTCATGTGTCCCCAGGAGCACTACTGGCACAATGTGGTAACAGGGATCCATAGCTAAGACTGTGGAACTGTGCTTTCAGTGAAAACCTGTGCTTAGACTGGAAATATCAGAGTGGTATGAGACTATAATGTCTGTCACCATACTGAGATCACCTTGACTATCTGACATCACATCACATCAATTCCCACCAATCTGTCAGGGGGCTTCTAAAGTACAGAAGTGGGATCTTAATATCTGCTTCATTTGAAACAAGGCTGGTACACATTGGCTTTTCATAGCACCTTTTTGGCAGAAAGACCAAGTGAAAGTCTGAAGTATTTTTTTTAAATCTCAGTATCACAAATATTTTCCTATATTACAGTGTCTCATGTTTGACAAAGGGATGTTGCACAGAAACAAGCACAAGCAAGTAGAGTTTTTATGTCTACTGAAGGTGCCTAAATGTCTGAATTTTAGAGTGCTTCAGAGTCTTACTAAAATGTTTTTGATTATTGAAGTCCTATCCAAATAATAAGAATGTCAGGATAAGAATAGGGGGGGTTATTTGTTAGCATATGCATGAAGTAAGTTTTTTCTCTTTATTAGTTTTATTTTCTTCCCTGTACTTGAATTAATTTTTTCCAGTCTATATTAGGGTTTGTATCTAATTATGGCTGTTTTGGTAGAGAGAGCATATTGCAATTTCCCTAATTTTAATAAGATTCTTTTAACGGAATAATAAATGACATTTTAAAAAAGGAAATCATTTTAGTAGACCTTGATACAGCATTTCCTATGTGACTTCTGGGCCTTGTTTTCATTTTCAGCATCTTTATTTTCTTTGCCTATACATTTACTTCTTTATTGATTTAACAATAGTCTATTCATTCATGCTAGTTTATTAAGTGCTGTGGTTATAATCTCTGTGGAATCCTCAGTTAATTGTGTTCATAGTTCCGTAATGGTGTGCAAACATTTTCTTCTGTTGTGATGTTGCCAGGAAGGGCTGTTCCAGGTTTGACTGTGATTGTCCACCTCACAATGGAAATGCACATATTTTTTTTACATACAGTTTTTATTACTGCGGTCCGTACATATCTTGAGGTAGCACTTCAAGCACTAAACACACTTCCAACAGCTGAAGAGTGAAAACCTTTTTACTGGGCAATATTACAACTTCATTTTCTTGCTGTGGAGCTCCATCGCCTGTAGATCTATATCCTGACACTCTTTAAAGCTTCAGTTTAGATTATTTTTTTCCCCCCTATCAACATGTTCTTCAAAAATAACCATATTCTTATAATCATAGTATTAGAGAGTTAGTCCATCAGCAAGATGAACTTTCTTCAATGTAAAATAAGAAGGAATATCAACTACTTCCTGCAGAATTATGCGAAAACTTCATTTCTTCAACTCCGCTTCCAGTAATCTCCATTCCCATACACCCACAGGTAGCTAAACAAAGAAATTAGAAATCTCACCACTCCTAGAGTCAGATTTTCTTGTAACTTTGAGGATATGTGTGAAAGGTGTTCCTAGCAAAATGGACTTTGATTTCTGAGCATGCCAGCATTACCTATTTGTAAGTCTCAGCATGTGTAGCGCTAATCAACCAACACACTATGTTTAAGTCAAATAAAATGGCATTTCTTTGTGATGGCTAGAGATTATGGATAGTCTGCTATTAAGAAGTATTGCTATAAGAACTCCTCAGTTTTGCCATTATAACAAGTGTTTTTTATTACAGTATGGACAGCTCTCATTTTATGTTCATCAGTAAGTCTTTATAGCAGTATGAATATATCTTTTAATTTCATTATGGCCTGAGGTATTTCTGTTCATTTCTCATAAATGAGCAAATAAACCATCTAACTCCTGTCTCTTAATACTCATAATCTGAGGGACTTTTCTTTATGGCTGCTTAAATAGCTGACGCAGTAGGCGTTGTCTGTGGGTGGCCAGGAACGTGCTAGATAGACAACTATTTTAAACAATTACAGTATAGTAGATAGCCAAGTTTGAGGTACTGGGGTTTTCCTACCCACTGCCATAGACAAAAACAGATTTGCAGCAATAGGTTTTGCTGTCCTAAAAGTTGTAGACAACTGATTCTTGTCATGTTTTGGTATGCTTTGATAATAAGAAGCAAATGTCCCATGAAATAAACTGAACAGAACACAATTGGTGGGAATTCCCATATTTTTTTACATCTTTCTGTTCTGTTAAGTGCTTCCAGACATTGTTAAGGAGTTGGTTCTGAATGTGGTTTATTGATATCTTTGTCCATTTCTAACCCTTATTCTGATCTGGTAAATCTGCAGATAGACACTAGATGTGGCATCTCT